TGTTTAAATTTAGCAAATTCCTGCATAGCTGCTCGTCGATATTACTTAGCACATACCTGTTGATAAGACGGTAATTTTTAAGTGTCAGCACCTAAATTGTGCGCGCATTTTTTGATGACAACAACCTGTCAAATATATGGCATTTATTTTACTTTTTTTGGCAACGTCGCTAAGTTTGACACAAATAAAAATTGGCTAAGATTTTGGTTTCAATTTCACATTTTCCTCCAATTAGCTAACAGAAATTTTACAACGGGCAAGTTTTGATTTTTCAAGGTCGTTTTTTTCTTTTTTGAAAATTGACAAAAATTTTAATACATTTTTGTGGAATTCCAAGTGACGCACAAAAATATTATTTATATACTCTGAACCGTTACACATACACCCATTAATGGGTATAAATGATCAGTGTGATGAGCTGAGTCGATTTAGCCATGGCCGTTTGTTTGTATATACGCTAACTAGTCTCTCAGTTTTTTGTCGATATGCAATTTTGCACAAGTTTTTTTTCTCCCCAAGAAGCTGTTCATTTGTCGGAAACGCCGAAAGCGGACGACTTTAGCATATAGCTGACATACAAACTGCCCGATGAAACTCAAGTCGTTTTATAGAAAACTTTGTATATTTTACAAAAATTCTCACAAAATTGGCCATACATTCCATATACTATCCAAGCCAGCGCCACAATCTTCGAAGGAATTGTTTAGTTCGGATCACTATAGCTAGCATATATGTATGTACATACATATGTAGCTGTCATTCAAACTGACCGATCAAAATCAAGATTAAAAACTTTTTAAACCCATTAATGCTACATTCGGTGCAACCGAAGGTAACATGTTTTCTTAAAAGTTTTATTTAAATTTATTTAAAATAAAATGTTTTTATATATTCATTAAACGAAACTATTTCGAAATATTTTTCCAGCGTAAACAACAAACACACAAGTATGTATGTATATGTCAATAAATATACACATAGGTACATGCATAAATATGTATGTAATTGCGCAAATTCCATCATTTCGTAAAGAAAGTGAAAATAATTTCTTCCCTGTAGTACAATGAACTCTTGATGACGCCAAGCGCTTACACATTCACACATACAAACGCATTTTGCTTGTTGCCACAACAAACAGTTGCATTCATTCACTCAACGTTCAAAGCTTAAACGGCTGCTCCAATCATGAATACAATAACAATGACAACAACAATGTGTGCAGCAATTGCCACAGTCATAATAACGATTGTAATTGTAAACGTTGCACTTCAAATGCAATCAACGACCCAGCAGCATTCACAACAACAACAACACTAAGAATGAATATAAAAATCAAACCAAAAAAACAAAAACAACAAAAGGCATGTAATAGTAAACTGCCCGTGCTTGGGATAGCGCTACAGCAACAATATTGCGGTTATCACGCTTGCATGAAGGATGAAGAAGAAAGCGCCGACAACACATACAAATGTATGCAACGACAACAATAACAATAACACTGACACGCAATTAACAACACAAACTCAATACTTGCTCCAAAAAGGTAGCAACATATTTTTTTTTGCTGCAATATTCTTGATTGCTGAACATTTTGATTTCTTATTTTTTGAGCAACATTGCTGCTGTCATTAAAATATTCCTTACACATACAAGCGTTGGGCGCAGCAAAAAGTGCCATTGAGCATTGCTTCTGTGGCTACTGCGGCAACAACAACGACACCAACAACAACACTAATCAAAAAATACGTATTTATGTGCGTGTATATACAATACATGTGTGTGTGTTTGTTGTTGTTGCCAGCAGTCGTCAGCCACCGCTATGCATGTTGATCAATAAATTGTTGCTGTGGTTGTTGTTGTTGCCTGTCTGCCTGCCTGCCTACGGTTAATTGAGGTAAATTAAGGTAAACTATCAAATGACAATAGCAACAACTACAATAACAAATACACACTTACGAGTGGGAATGGAAGTTTTTACGAAGATTTACAACAAAAGTAGCGGCACATTGGTGTGTCGTCTGTGCATGTATGAGGCACCGCTAGCTAAAAGAAACCACGCAAAATGTTCGTGTCACATGGGAGAGTAGCAATTGGATTGCAGTAAAGCATTTGTTAGTGCCATAGCAAGCCAACAAATAAAAAACCCATACACACACACACACACGCAGCAGCGAGAACACAATTGCCCTTCATCGCGCTTTTAATAAAACTTTAACGAAATTAATTTCTTTTAATAGCTGCAAAGCAGCGTCTTAATGAGATCGAAATGATAAGAGCTCATAAAAAATAACACATACTATACAAATGTTTATACAAAGAGGTTTGTATGTATGTATGTGTACATTTACGCGCAGCTGCATTGCGTCAAGCGCACTTGCAAGTTGCAACAAAATTTCGCTTAGTGTTACCTACTTGGCGACGACACTACAGCTCTTTACGTAAAGTATTCGTTTTAATTGAAATAAATGCAGCATACCTACTCAGCAATACACACACACACACACAAGCCATAAGTTGCTCCACTTGAATACTCGCGCTTTATTCGTGAGATTCAAGCTCCATTTCTAGCGCTCGAAACTCCATTTTGTGCACCATTTTGACTTTTACTACTTTTTTACGTATACATATAATATATTGCTCTTCGTTTTATGTTGTTGTCGTATGATTGTTGCTTCCATTTTAACCAGTTAACCGTCATTGTGTAGCGTTTCGCTGTTGGTTTCTTTGTGCTCACTCACTCACTCACACCTATACAAGCGCAATTGGTCACGCACACATTAACCGTTGCTCTCCATCTCTTTCGCTCGCCCCAACCCCAAAGCCGCGCTGTTCTGTTCTGTTCTTTAACAAGTCGCTTACCTGCGCTCATGCATACAACAACAAAAGGTACGCTGACTCACTGTGATTTGTTGTTTTCTATTCGCTACGCAACAGTGTTGGAAAATAAAATGTAAAAAAGTACAAAAAGTACAAAATGTAACTTGTTTGTCTCTGATTCTGTCTTCTTCGAAGCTGACATTAACCGTCTCAACCAATTTGCGATAGGCTCAAAACGCTTTGTCAATTTGTAAGGGTCTTATGATCTAGTATATAGGAGTCTAAGTGCGATGCCGGTTAGGATCGACCTCTCAACCTAATCTAGCTTATTTGCTCTGAAAAAGTAGAGTGAATGAATAATATGATATTTTAATTCGATTTTTTATATTTTTATATCGATCAATTGTTTTTATTACTAAATTATATAATATATTCGAAAAAAAAAATTTGATTGAGAACTCCTAAAATTGTAGTTATTATGCCAAAAGCTCATCTTTTATTTGTAGAATTAGAATCGAAAATTCTCTCTTGAACAATTTAACTTTAACTTAATATCTAAAACTGAATATTCCAACACCACTTTTCGAAGAAAATCCAACCTGCTCTTCCTGCTGTTGCTAGCATGTCTTCAAAGCCATACTATTGTACATATTGCTATTTTTTACTTGTTTTTTTATCGTTCCATTTTTTTCTCTCTCAATTTCACCCTGTTCCAAGACGAGTTCTCAGTTCACGTTTGCTTTGGCAGCAAATAAGAATTCCTTGCCTTTAAGTACTTTGTCTGTCTATCACACTGTCTTGTCTGATTCTTGGTGGTTGTTATTCACATGCTTGTTGTTGTTTGTGTGCATGTCTTACTTGGTGTGTAGCTTGAGACCTGGTGCGGAGACCTAACGATGAGATCATCATCGTACTTATGAACCAACGTAAAAAAAAACAACAAGTGATATGTGAACCTTCCATTTATGTTTGTATGTATGTATGTGCCTGCCAGAAACACACAAATATATGCATAGGTATTCATGTATATATGCATGTATAATGGTCTGCTTGGCTATATAATTATGACTTCGTGCAACAGTTGGGCTATAGGCATACAACTGATATATATATACATATGTATGTATATACATGTGTACACTTTGCGCACGAAGATTCACTTGGAATCCAAGCATGAAATACAGAAAGAGTTGATCTCGCAGCCATCCCTGACTTTTGTGCGCATAAAACTGATAAGTTTCGCTTTATGCGAAGTGCAAAGTGCGCTGCCGTTGCCGTTGCACTAACAATGCGCGCATTTCTGTAATATATGAAAGTACATATTCTTGACTTTTGCTTTCATTTCATGGAAAAATTGTGAAGAATTAAGTCAAAGCGTTAAAACAAAGGTCGAACTTTGTGGTATGCAAGAAGCTTGAAACGCGAACTTGCGTATTTATAAATCATAATCTGCCCGCAGTTAGGTAAAACCGCTGAAACATTTTTTATTCCAAAATCACACAACTTTTTAACTCGTTGCCTAGCGCTTGTGTGGCCTTTTCCTTGTTGCGCCTGCTCTCCGGCTCAATCTCATTGGCCGCTTATCTGCTGGTACAAACCCACACACCACACCTACATACATACACTGGTACATTGGACGAGTGTCGACTACAAATTCGTTTAATGACTTATCGCTTAAAAAATATCTTTTACACTTAATTTACTTTTAAATAATTTTTGCGTTTAGCGTTGAAATTTGTGTAGTTGTTTTCCAAGTAACTCAGACCTTCGCATTCCTTTCGTGTGTTGTTTTGTTTGCCACATTTCTTATGTGGTGGTTCGCCAACAATCGCTTAATTGGTGTTGGCACAAAATGAGATACGGGCACACCAAAAAACTGTGCGAAGAAGGTAAACGAACAAAAACACGATATAGAAAATTAAAATGGCGTTCGGCTTATTTTCTGGTGCTAAAAGCTTAGCTTAAATTTGCCAATAAGTTCTTTGGCTGGATTTTTTTTATTTGTACAAATTTATAAAGAATGAGTCAATGTTGATTATTTGGAACAGCTACAAAAAATGTATGAAAATATAAAATATATATTTTTTGCTCATAAATTAATTTCTAATAAATGACTCATCGCACTAATTTGCTCCATGATTTCTTTAAATTTCTCTATTAATTGTTTTCTTTCTTCATTGCAGTTCCCTCATTGGCATCCAGTTTACACCATCCACACCACCAAAACAGTTCTAAGAACAGCAGTAATACCGAGGAGGAGAACACCTCTATGCCGGGTCCAATTTCACCACACACAGATTTTATGGTGAAATGTCCACAATGTCCAAAACGTCTAGGGTTTCAGGTAAGTAATTGAATCGGAAAGAACTTTAGCAATATATGTAAAGTAGTCCTAATAGGTTGATGTTAAATAATTTAAGTACAATATAAAGTCAGAAGTGGTTCCAAGTTTCTTATAGCTACATTATGTCACCAGCTAATCAGCACCTTAAATATCTTTTCTACTTCCAGTCTCTGAGCGAACACATCGCCAGCGAACATCCACATGAGACACCTCATACAGAAAATGTTCCATCCAGTCTTGCCTACCAACACCGCAACCACCACCTTCAGCTACACAACCACCAACAACACCTTCACCAACTCCAACAATCCTACGCACAAGATAGCATCGTCGATATTGACGACGATAACGAGGATAACGACGACAACAGCAGTAACAGTAATAGCAATAGCAGCAATATAAAGTTTACAAACTCACCAAACCAATATAGTAATAACAACAACGATAGCAATATTAAAAACAATAACAATAGTATTACAAATATCGAATACGAGCGTCATTCACCTGCAACACCGGGCGCTACCAATCACAACACCACTAACACCGCGCTCAACAGTTCTCACTCACCTAATACCAAGCCAAGTAAACAACAACAGCAATCGAAGATGATACCAAATGTGACGCCCACCGTCTCGCCCACACCACCGAACGATCTCAGCGCTGCCTCGTCGCCATTTGCCGCAGCTGCGGCCGCGGCAGCAGCAGCAGCAGCCGCTGCACAACACCAACTACCGCCTTTACCGCCACATCTAACACATCCACATGGCCTGCATCCTCATCTGCCGGCTGCGGCGCAACTAATGGCCGCCATGGCTGCTATGCAAGCTCAGCACCAGAATGGTGCGAACAACGGCATGCATAATGGCAGTATAGGAGTCGGCGGAGTTGGCGTCGGTGTAGCATCGGCATTGACATCCAACCCATCGGCGCGCACCTCACCCACCAGTCAGTTGCTGGCCTTGGCCAACAACGGACATCATTCACATACGGCGGCGCATGCGCTGGCGGGCAGCCACAACGGCGTTGGTGGGGGTAGCGTCTATGACATGGACGCGGCGCGCTCAACCTCAAGTCCCGGCTCGATTGGCGGTAGCGAAATGGGCGCATACCACTGCGTACAATGCCCGGCGACATTCCAGACGCGCGAACAGCTGGAGAAGCACGAGGTGCTGCATTCGCCCAGTGCGCAGACGCAAACGTCAAACCAAGTGAGTACAAACAAATTGTATATATTGTTGTATGTAAGCTATTAGTATATGTTTGAGTTCCAAAGATCTAAAGTTTCAAAGCCACCATTTTAACTTTGTTTTCGAATCGAAGAAGCGTTTTCACAAAGAAAACACGATTTCTGTGTATCTATCAAGTGAAACAAAGAAGCGCCTTTGTCTCATATGCAATCATTGCTACCTAACTAGCGACTAACGGGAAGAAGCAAAAATATATGCATGTGTACATATGTACATGATACTTCCAAGTAAACCTTAACAAAGTACGAATAAATTGCCACTTGAAGAAGACATGGCATATAAAAACTCAAATGTGAAAGAATGATTTTGATTGAAGTGGCTTGATGGAAATGAAGCAAGGAAGAATACAGTAAAACATCTTAGAAGAAACAAACTCTTGGGAATGATATTGTATATATGTACGTTTAAATAAATATCATATAAACATAGGGTATTTTAAGTATACATATACATAAGTATGTATAAAAATATATTATAACTTGCAAGTGGCAAGTCTGAACAAACACATTTTTTTGTATTTTTTTGTACTTTAATAATCAACAATTCATTTTGAAAAAGTTTGGATTCCCTTAATATCAATCTCCAGCACAATATCCGAAAATATGTGTCTGGCGTTTTTCTGCTTAAGATTATTTCAAAAACCAAACAAATTTATTATTAATGATCGTTTTTGACAAAATGTCTACATCGCAAACAAGTCGCTTTTTATGATAAAATTTACAGAGTAGCTTAAAAAATCAAAATGTTTATAAAAAAAATTATATACCTTCGATCATTACTTGACAAATAAATGTAAGTTGCGCTGAAAACAGAAAAATATTATAAATATTTTATTTTGAAATCTGTTTTCAAAATAATTTCTTCTCGAAACCTACAACGATAAGGGCTTCACCATCTCTCAGCCTATTAAAAATAATAACGAAAGAGTTCTTAAGAGACTACAACACCGTGCGAGTAAATAATCTTGCATATCCATATATTCTCATTACAACTACATATCTATGTATATACTATACTAGATACATACATCAACACGAGGTCTAAAAGATAGGCGTAAACAAATACGCAATAAAAAATTATACGAATATATTATTACAGAAACAAAAAACACAGTGAAATACTAAATAACAAACCGACTCCCCTGTCTACACACATGAAAATATCTATATATGTACATATGTATACACAATGCTTGTTAGTTGGTAGCTACAGTCAGGTCACCATTTCGCCAGCACCGTACAAAGTCTGAAGCGGTGATTGGAGCTGCGCGTCATGTTGTAGTTGTAGTTAGAAACTGCGTATCACCCCGCGGGTAATCTCAACTGGTTCCGCTCGCTACTTCGAGTCTATCAGCAATTGTCTTACCGTCGGATGCCTGCTGGCTGCCGCACTAGTTGTGCTCTGAGTACTCTATTGTTACTGTAGATATTGTAGTTGTTTTTTACTCCTTATCTAATACTCAGACACAGTCATAACTCTCGATTGTTTATTGTGCGATACAATGCGTAGCAATAGTTGGCGATAAGCGTTCGACAGTGGCAAAGGAAATTATGAAATATAAGTCGCTTGTTTTGTGGAGGGCATTCCACACACATATTTACGTTATATGGTCGACGATAAGACATGAAATGGCTGTTTTTCAACATAATGATAAGAGAATTAATGAAAAAAACCTACACAAAATATACGCCCACTGCGGTTGGCCATAAAAGTGAGCAAAGTAGAAAAACAAATATCCGAAGAACAGATAAATACATAAATACAAGTATGTACTCCGTAGAGACGTTCACATGCACGCACCTAACTATCGCCCCTGTGCTGCTGATAAGTAAGGTGGCACAGGCGTTTCCCTTTCGTGTTGATGCTATGCTCTTATCATAAACCAGAACTTTTCTACTAACTAAGCCTACTTGCCCTCGAGTTATTACGTTTTACCGCCATTCACAGACATTATTATCGCCAGCTATGATCATAAATTATGATTTGATATTTTGGCTTTGCAACTTTTTTTTGTTTTTTGTTTTTAATAAAAGCTGTCTAAAAGTGCTGTGTGTAGTATAAAAAATCAGAATGTGGCGAAAATGCACATGTGCAGTGTGTGTGTGACATGTGTGACGCGCAACCCACAATGAACACCCTCACAAAAGCGCCAGCAACGCCTGTCGCTCGTACCACAACCCTCGCAAAATTGGTCATTTTTTCTCATTACGCCGTTCCGTGTGCTCGGCAGCGCTTGAGGTGAGCATTTGCTAAACAAACTAATATGCTGTCCTATGCGAAAAGGCAACGCCCGAATGTTTAATAACCGTTTTTTGTGTGTGATTTTTACCTTCAACTTCTTATTCGAATTCGCTTTTTTTTCCTTTTTCCGTGCAGTATTTTTTCTACGCTACTTTTTGGCGATCCATCTCTTTTGACACACACTCACTCCCTGGAGCATACGCGCACATTTGACGTTTGACCAATAACGTCATCTGTAACGGCATGCGGTCATATACCATACATATATTTGCAGTTAGTGCGCCCGAAAGCAAACTAATATCCCGTGCGCATAAGCGTGAAAAATGCTCATATTGCTTTAAGTATCTATCCCTCATATTGCACACACACATACACTTGGATCCATATTTTTTTTTTGTGGTATTTTTATTAGCGCGAAATCTAATACCTTTCGCTCCAAAGCTGAGTTTTGCTGAATATTACGGTCATTCATAAACACCTCCGGTGTTGCCATACATACATACATACAGACATGTATGGGGACTATACTTTTTTCATTGACATATGATCTTTTTTTTAACCGTATTCGTTATTCTAATATGTCAGTTGTGTGTTTGTGAAAACTAATATCGAAACAGTTGCCAGCAACTTTCGTTCTTAAGCCACAGCTGTGTGCACATTCCACAAACATTGCATCGCCCACTCGCCGCCGCTTTGGTCTTAACCCCTTAAGCGTTAACTAAACTCTTAAAAAAACTTAAAATAAGTAGAAAAAGAAAAAGTACACATTTTTAAACGGAAACAAAAAATAATCTTGAAACCTTTTGCCGGAAGTGTGGCATCTCGAAATTTGTTATGCATGAAACTTTTTTGAAGTGTTCATAAAAAAGTTTTTGCATGACTACCTTTTGAAAGTGTGCGTTATGTGCTTTTTATGCTCTGTACAACTAGACGTTGTTACTTTTACAGTTATTTTGCACTTTGGAAACATTGCTAAATTCAGCAGATTAGCTTTAAAGACAGTGACGGTGAAGGCAATTGAATTGCAACATAAGAATTTTGCACTAAAAATTAAATTTCAAGAAATATAAATTTTAAATTCCTATTAACTGTAAATATCATCTACTTTTGCACGCATAAATTGGCAACAATTTTTATTTTCGCTTTAATTACAATATTGTTGTTTATTTCCTACGAGAAGCAAACAAAAGCACTGCAAATGATCGCGGCTAAAGTTTTTATTTGCTCTATCTTACATTGTGCTCTCCAGCGTTTTTTTCGCATCACCTTCAGCTTCATGTATGTATATTATTTAAAATAAATTGCTATTAATTTCTTACACTCGCAAACGCGAATTGTTAAAAACAACAACAAAAACAACAGTGGCAATTGTACAGACACATGTGACCTTTTGACTGCCAGCCCTGAGTAGAGCTGAAGCTCCGTTGAGTCAATGGTCAGCACAGTACATATGTATGCCAGTTAATGCATACAAGCGGTGAGTAATAGCTCATGGGCAACTCAGTCAATATAAATGAAAGGTGTATAAGGAAATATTTGTTTCACCGCGAACCATTAACAAAAACAAGTGGAGAAAATGTCCGCTCATACAGAAAGATATATATACAAACGGACCTTTGTTTATAAGCGAGTTTCAAAAGAATGTCCAGATTTTACCGTTCATTTAAGAGACAGACCTAGTTTGACCATCTAAAACAAGCGACATTTGGGAATTAAAAAAAATAACTGCTGCATAATTTGTTTTAAGATTTTGAGAGTATATTTTTTGAAGAATGAAATTAAACATTTTTTGAGTCCTGCAAAAAATAATTAATATTGATTGGATCATTTGTTTTCGTCTAATCACTCGCCACTATCTTTAAAGTTAATCTGCCGAGTTTCAAAATGTTGTAAATGCAAATATAGTTTTGAGAAAATTCGTTTTAAGATAAGCTGATGAAACTGATGTCACTTTAAAAAGCAGTGACTCAAAATATTATTGTTATAATGTTATTTATAAAGATATAACCAGGTCGATTTTTAGTTAAAACTTTGGATTAAAATTACTTTTTCAAAATCCGATGTTAAAATTAAATTTTCATTTTTAATTCCAATGATAGGATTGGGATTACAAAAAAATAATCTAATAATTTTTGAATGCATAATTTGCAACCCTGGCATAATCTACCATTTATTTTAAATATCATACTTCCCACATTTGTAGAATTGTCTGTACAAATTAATTTTGTTATAAAATAATATTTAAATACAAAAGTAGTATATTTTAAAGTTATTTTGGTAATAAAATTTTCTTTCAAATATTAATTTTGATAAATAGTTTTGATAATGCACATAGAATTTTCCTGGAATTAAGTAAAATTAAAAATATATACATATATTCATATTTATTTGAATTCAAAGTATTCCAAGCACAGCCGAAATGGCTCACTGGGCATCACCTTAAGTGATAACTGTTTGAATATGCCTACATGTGAACACACACAAACTTCGCTTTGCACTGCATATATGTACATACATATGTATGTGTGTATGTAGGCGATAGTAACACTCAGTGAAGCAGTCAAACATTGCACGCCTCTCCGTCGTTTTCATTTGCGGCAGATATTTTCACCTAAAGTGCATGCAATTTTCAATTTGATGCCATTCGGCAGTAACCGTTCTGCTCACTTCACACACTCATAAACGCTCAGCGCGCCAATGAGTAAATAACAGTGTAGTAA